AACGGCAACAGGCGCACGCTTGACTGGGTGGAGGGGCATGAATCGGGGATAGCTTCGACTAGACTCAAGAGATTCATACCGCAACGGCGGGACCATGGAAAAGAACGTGGTCCCATGCAAAGTGAGGCTTGGTCGCCAGATGACGCTGTCCAATACTCTGTCATGACTTCTTTAAATGACCGTTTCTTTTTTTAATTAAATAACTCGCTATAGTCATGGTCATGCCAGGGCCTGCTTATAGTGGATATCGACTAAATGTTCAGCTTTCCATATGTCTCCTCTTTTGCCGTTGGAAGTCATCTCTCGGGAGCTCCCCTGGTGGATATCGGCCACGCTGGAGCCCTTACCAAGACGTGATGCCCACCTACAATCAGCTGGCTCCCGGCTCTCTCCTCAACCAGCAGTACGGCGCAGTGCAGGGTCTAGGTACGGTAGTCATCCACTTGCGCGTCTTTCTGCCGTCTGTCTGTGTCACAGTTTTATCGTGCGGTTCCAGGGTTCCACGGTATCCCCGCCAGAAGAGCTCCGATGGTCGAGCAAGCCGTTCAGACGGTTCCTTTGGCCAGCAGTGCTCAGAAAAAGGGGAAATCCTCAACTCAGCCGCAGCAGCTCAGACAGACTGTTCGTCCAGCCCAGCACGCCGTCTCCCAGGTTCAGAAAGAGAATGTCCCCAACAGTAAGATTATTTCAGATTCTTTTTTGGGGGTTTTTTTGTAACTGGATAGCTCACTCATCTGAATCTCAATCTCTTGTTACGTTGAGGTAAATCGAATGCTTTTCTTCCAGATCAAACCGCATCCCAGCCAAGTGAAAGCAAAACGCAAGGTCGAAGCACTGAGAATAAAAAACAAAGGCGAAAACAAGGTAACCTAACATCGAACTATTTCGGCTATTTGCAAGATTTAGCCAAATCATAGTTCCAAACAACAGCAAATGTTTTTGTTTTGGGGTTTGTTTGTTTTTTGTCTGTGTTCCTGTGCAGGAAGCCGCAGGTCCAGGAAGAGAATGTCCCCAACAGTAAGATTATTTCAGATTATTTTTGGGGGTTTTTTTTGTAATTAGATCACTCACTCCTCTGAATCTCCATTTCTTGTTACGCTGAGTTAAATCGAATGCTTTTCTTCTAGATCAAACCGCATCCCAGCCAAGTGAAAGCAAAACACAAGGCCGAAGCACTGAGAATAAAAAACAAAGGCGAAAACAAGGTAACCTAACATCGAACTAT